ATGTGGTGGCAGTGAAATGCTGCAGGGCACTTGGGGGGGGGGGGGGGCAGCTCAGTTTCCGCCCCTGGCACTGAACAGGCTCCAAATGGAAACGGAGAACCGAGGGATGGAGCTCTGGCCCCGACAGCTGCTCAGCACCGGCAGCTCATATCTGTCCTCTGGAGACCCAACTCAGGCAGGAGCTGAGAGCGATTCAGGAGCTGCTGGGCCAAGCTGAGCTTGCTCACTAGCTTGGCCCTTTGAGGGATGCATGGCATTTTAGGGCCTGATCCTGCCCCACTGTGGAGTAGCTCATTGGCCTAAGAATGGGGTGGTGGTCTGGGCAGCAGCCAGGTTGTATCTACACCCCCTGAGCCTTCAAATGCAAGAGGGGGGTGACAAGAGGGACCTGAGCATCCTCTGTCATCATCAGTCACTGCATTACGGACCCCTTTTTCTGGAGAGGTTGGTGCTCCTGTGGAGGCAGCAGAAGGGGCCTGTGGGCAGGCAGAGCGTAGGGTGACTTTGGCTGGGATCATCCTCTCGTGTCACGATCAGCCTCGTGTAACGTGTGCTCCCTCTCCCCCCCTTCCTCCCCTCTCTCACTGACACCCACGTGTGTGCCTTCCCTCAACCCCCTCCCCCCCCACCGCTCCGGCCGCCTTCCTGCTGCCGCCTGCGTGTCCGCACCCTGCGCTTGCACACCCAAACCCCTCCCCCCACCCCCGCGGCTGCCCCTTTGCCCTGGACACACGTTCCCCTGTGTCCGACGGGCCCTGGATGCCCGGCCGTGGGGGCCATCTCCTCCCCAATCCCACCCCTCCGTGCTCTCCTGGCTGTTACCCCTGAAGGTTTGGTTTCAGAACCGAAGAGCCAAGTGGCGGAAGCGGGAGAAGTGCTGGGGCCGGAGCAGCGTGATGGCCGAATACGGCCTCTATGGGGCCATGGTGAGGCACTCCATCCCTCTGCCTGAGTCCATCATCAACTCTGCCAAGAGCGGGCTGGTGGGATCCTGCGCCCCATGGCTGCTGGGTAAGTGGGAGCTTGGGGCTGGAGGGGTTGGGGGGCAGCTGCGAAGTGAACGGCCCTTCCTCTTTCGTATGGCTGTCCTCGCCTTTTCCCACAAAAGAATGGGGCTTGGGCATGAGCTGTACGCAGGCTGCTAAGTGTCCTGGTTTTTTTTTTTCACTCCCTTCTTGCAAAGAACAGCTGGGAAAGGGAAAACCTTTTAGCACCGTGTCAGACAGGTGCCCGCACCTTGGTTAGGTATCGCTTTCTAGTGCTAGCAGCCAGCATGGGAGTTGCAGGGCGTCTAGGAAGTCATCACCCTCCCCCCACCAAAATGAAGATAACGTTAATGCTGTGCTGCCTCAGAGCTACCATCTGCTCATACATGGTCCTACATTGAGGTAGCACTAAAAATCCAGGGCGGGATGGGCCATCGCAGCACCGCTCTTACTGTAAGTCTTCCTTGCTGCAGGGGAGGTACGGACCAGGTCTGCCGCAAGCCGTCCTCTTGGGCTGCAGAGAGCAGGTGGCAGGGCTCCAGGTTGGGGAAAAGCTGGTAGCTAGCATGAATCTTCCTCGGGATGCAAGTGAGAGCTGAAGGAAGCAGCAGGACGGCAGGAGGTGATGCTGAGCGGTCCCGGGCAGAAATAAGCAACCGGCACCCTTGGCTTTGCTCTTTCCCCTCTGCAAGGCATGCACAAAAAGTCCATGGAGGTGAGCAGGAAGGCGGAGAGCCAAGAGAAGTTGGCAGATGGCTGGCGAGCGGAGCAGGAGGAGGAGGAACTCAAAGGGAAGCAGGCCAGTTCCCAGAGGGGCTCTGACAAGCTTGGCCCTGCAAAAGATTCGGAGGACACAGCCATTGACCTCTCCAGGACAGCCAAGCACGAGAAGAGGGGTGTACTGAGGCAGTGCATCAACGGGGACCCCCCCACGGAGCAGAAGGACAGGGACCACTGAGCTTGGGCTGCCCCAGAGGAAGCCAGACCTCACAGCTTCCTGTCAAGATAATAATATTTATTGATTTATTGATATATATATTTTTTTCTTAAATAACTGAACTTTTATCTGAATTCAGGGCATTTTAAAACTGAGCACACACATCCCCTTGTCCCCTCTTTCAAGCTGTTCACTTGTCAGCAGAGCCAGGGTGGAGGGTGGGAGAGGTGTCCCAGCGGGGACAAGAGCAGTGCGAAAATGAGACCGCGTTGTGGTCAGCATCGACCGTGTCTGGGGAAGAGCCGCCCGTCCCCTCTGGGCTGTGAAAGCTTCCCCGGCCAGCCAGGAGCACAAGGAGAAGCAATGCAATGGGAGCCGCTCCCTTCTCAAACACGCAGGTGCAAAGACGGTGCAGGAGTTTACAGACGCCTTCTCTGAGCACTTCCACCCTGCACAGCGCCCGCGTGGCAAATCCCTCCGCTTTGAACACACAATTCTTCCACCTGGAGGAGCAGCAGGGTTTTTAAACACGGTAGGGTTCATCCTCAAGCTGGTGTAACCTAACAGATGCGCCGGTTTATACCTCCTGAGGATCTGGCCTGCCAATGCAGCCTTATCACTGGATTTACACTGTGTAGCTTCCTTAACTCATATTTGGGAGAAGGGGGTAAGGACATTTTTGTTTATGCAATGGTTTTGTACACTCTTGAATGTTATCTGCCATACTATGCATAATAGAACAGACCTTTTTGAAAACCAAGCCATAGTACCCCAGAGCAATTAAACAATTTTGTGAATTGACATAAGAAGATATTTTGTAATTGTCTGTAAAAAGTGTTAATGTCAGAGCTGTTTCTTGGTCGTCCTATATTTATGTCTAAAAGCACTTTAGTGATCTGGATTTTTGAATGTGGCTCTTCCTGTTTTGTCCACCATTTATTTATTACACATCCATAAATAAAATTGTGGTGTATCTTTGGTTTTCATGCTCGGCATTGCAATTTGTACCTTCCTTTGGCATATCTCGTGGTAGTTCCCAGCTTTGAGCAGCTCCTCCGCAGACTTGTGCCTAAACTGGGCTGGAGAGCTCTGCTGAGGCAGTGTAATTGTTCCAAGGGGGCAAAGCGAAGCCCTCCCCAGAACTGAGGTCTAATCCAGCGGCCTCTACATGCCAGAAGGTGATTGATTTCTGCCAGTCAAAGAGCCAAATCATGGCTGATGGCTTAAGAGATGGTCCGAAACGGGACATGCAGCCAGTTCCTGAGAGAAGTCAGGGAGAAAGTTGCTCCAGTCTTCCAAGGGTTGTTGAAAATCCTCCTCAATAGAGCGTAAGTGTGAGGTTTTCCCGCCCTGACAGCAGGAAAGGCGCTCTGCCTCTCGAGTGTCTGTACAGTGCTCTCCTCCTCCTGCTGATCCTGCTGCTTTGGAGGGTGCAGAGTTGTGCCCTGTGTCCCCACGTCTCTTGTGATTAAATACAAGCAGCAGCTGCTCACTTTGCCTCGGTGAAGGCATGGTGGGAGGTACTGTTGGGGGCACCTCTGCCTCCTGGGGAGGTACACAGAGCAGCCATGTGGTCCCAACCGCACAAACACTTCCAGCGAGGCACAAGGGCGTTGTGGCCATCCAACTGCCCGACTCCTAGCTGCGACAGGTCCTCATCTCATGGCTGGGCTGAACTGGCCCATTGCACACACCGCGACAGCTCTCCTGGAACACCTCCAGTTTCAGCCGCTGGCCAAAACATAACGGAAAATTATCAAAAGGTTTTATTTAAATCTGAGTAATTCCAATTTGGAAAGTTTCCTAATACAGCTCAGGGGGTGCGCAGCCATGTAACGATGCTGTCACCTGTCCCCCATCCCTGCTGCTGGGCCCATCTTCTTGCACACAGGCAGCCGTAGGCTGTGCTGGGCGGTGGGAGAGGGTGGGATGCTGGCTGGGAAGAGCAGAGCAATAAAAGTGGCATCTGCAGATTTCCTGCCTTTCCCCTCCTCCGCTCGGCCAGGGCCCGCTGGGCGGGGGGCAGGGAGCAACATATGCACAGCAAATACAAGCTTTACAGCAAAAAAAAAATGTTGGGGGTGGGGGGGGGACACACACAGGGAGCGCGGTTCAGGGAAGGACCAGCCAGGGCTTATTGCAGCAGCAATTAGGCTCACAGAGAGCCGAGACTTAGCACATTGGAGGCCTAATCCTGCCTGAGCAGCATCTGCAAACCTTTTATTTGGGCCGTGCCATGCTGGCACTGGATGCCTGCAATCATTTATTTTTTTTTTTTTCCCTGCCCGCGTGCAGATGGCCTGGCTCTTCGCCTTGCGCTGGGTGCAGCGCTGCGGAAGCAAGCACATCACTGCCACAACTGCTACAAGGGGAAACACCGCATCCCTGGCAACACGCAGGGTGCGGACAACTGTCCTGGTAGGGCCTGGTGGGCTCTCAGCTCTCACTTTACAGTGTGAAGGGGGAGTCATGTCACGGGGAGGGTTGCTGGCCCGAGGAACTTGTTGTGTGCTGAGAAGTAACCGCAGGGTGCAGCCAGGTACGCTGGGGCTCAGACGTGCCCTTGCTGCTCCGCTCACAGGGCGAGAGCCCAGGGGAGGCCAAGTGAAGGCAGGTGCTGGTGGGTGACAGTGACTGCCCAAGGTTCAGCTCCTGGTTGCCACCAGGAGCTGGTGGCAGGGTCTGGTGGGCAATCCTCGGAGCTTGGACAGTCACTTGCCTCTTAGATGCCTGCAATAAGCCTGGCAGGGAAGTGCTCGCTGTCCTCCATATGTCAGTGCGGTTGTAGTGGCAGTAGGAGTAGGGCAGCACATTTTTCTTGTCATTGCTTCAGATTTGATCCATCCTGAGATTCGTGGTAGCTAAACGCAGCCACAACTCCTGCCATTGCTATTTCAGGCCAGGGCTGGTCATGTCAGTGTGACAGAAGAAAGTGTGACTTATGGCAATGGCTGCCATTTGCGCACTTCTCCACTGCTGCAGTGGGTTTGCCCATGAGAGACCCAGAAGCCATCTCAGTGACCACACCAGGGCCTGGCTGGCATGAACTTCCCTCTGCGAGGGGCTCTGGGGGTTCCTCAGCCACAGCAGCTGGGTTTGCTCAGGCAGGAGATCCCTTCCATGTGGCTCGGACAAGAGGACTTGGTAACATCAAAGCCACTGTTCAGCAGCCAGCGCTGCTGCAGCCTCACTTCAGTTCATCTGGGCTGCCACCCACCATGGCACATCCAGATCTTTCCACAGCACCCTATGTACAGCGCTGGCCAAGGACTTAGGCGATCTGCTAAACCAATCATGGCAGAAAGGACGAGGAAAGAGAAAAGGGAATAAAATGAGATTATTTTGGCACGTCTTTTGTCTTTTACGGGACTGCAGGCTGTTAGGCATGCACATCTGGGGGTTGCAAGGATGTGGTGGTGGTGTCCTGGTGATGAGCCCAGAGCAGGTCAGAACAGAGAAGGCTGCAGGGCTGCATTTGCGGAAACATCTCGATGGTGCCATTTCCGTACAGCTTATTAATATTATTTTCTAACCGGCATTTTGTCTCCACTCATCCTCCCAAGCCGCAGGCTGGATTTTCAGACTGGCAGGTTAGGAAGCGAGCATGAACGCTTTGCAAGCGCTCCCTCGTGTGGAGCTGGGTGATGGCACACAGTGAGCAGCCCAGGACCGAGGAAGGGCTGGCTGGTGGTAACCAGAAGCTTCACTCCTTCCCCTCAGCCCAACAGACCCCTGTTCACCTGTGGGGCGACATGCAGGGGGTGTCCGCATGCAGAATTAAATAATCCAGTGGGGGGTTGTTTTTCATTACTCGCTTCTTGGATCACCAACAGCCACTCGGTACAAGGAGCAGCCCCTTCCCTAGAGCAAGCCAGGTTCTGGCAGAGGGCATAGGCACTGACCAGAGACTCCAACTTCCTCCAGACTGCTCCTTTCCAAGGTTAGTTCAGCACTAGCACCAATACAAGTGCATTTGTATGAACCAAGTGCCTGTATTCAGCCCTGTTCTGCTCTGGGTGTGTGCCATTTCCCTCTTATTCCATGTCCTGCTGGCTCAGGGAGGGCAGGGCAGCAAAGGCCTCACCCGCCTTTTGGCCCCACTCCCCCTCTTTCCCACCTTCCACAGTCCCGCTGGACTCTATGGTCGCTGGCCACACGGGGCCGC